GTGCATGGGTGGCTGCATGCTCGTTTGTCTGTTGCATTGGTGCGGGCTGCTAGCCTGTGTTTGAGGGGCGGGAGGCAGTCATGGCGTGGTGTTGGGGCGATGGACGGGGCTGGGGTGTTCTCATCGGATGAGTGAGCGTGCCCTTTGTGCATAGGCATATGTGGATAGATTCATGGAGGCGATTTGGACAAGCGAGTGCATGGATGCCATCTGTCAATTATCTCTTCCCTCGTTTATTTCAACGTCGCGTTACGCTCGGGGTTAGGGTAATAAACCCTTTGACCCCAACCGCGTCAAACCCTGACAGTCAAATTTGGCTTCCTTCGCTTTGACTGACGGCTCTATGCCGGATAATTCTGTCTGCCATGGATAGGTTGGCATCATCTGCAGTTGGCATCATCTGCAGATGATGCCTACCTTACTGACGGCTTGCGTGTGCAGAGTTTCGCTTTTGATTGGCTTTTGGTGCGATTCGCTTAATTGAGTGTACGAACACAGCAGCAGGGAAGGGTCATCTATTCACACACCACGCAGTTTGAGCAGAGAGAGCACCGAGTCATTCATACACCCATCCATCGCCTGTCTGTCTGTCTGTCTGTCTGTGTGCACGTCAGTCAACACAGTTCCCTCCTCCCTCCCTCTCCTTCGCTAATCACACAGACAGGCACACACGCGACAGTAGAAAAAGCGCTCATCGATCAAATCATCTCACACACAGACGCAGACACGCTCTCTAATTCACCGGCCTTTATCCACCCATTCATCCATCCGTCCATCCGCCCATCCGTCCATCTCTACACACAAAGATACAGATGGCTAACTCTGTCTACACACAAAACAAAAGGAAAGACATTCATTCACTCCACCCCAAAAACGGCCGGGCTCTCCTCTCCGCCTGTCTGTCTGTCTGTCTGTCTGTGTGCATAAATGGCTTAATTGCCCCCCTCCCCTCCCCCTTTCCCGTCTCCCTCCTCCCCCCGCAACCCCCCTGGCAGTGCGTGTCAGACATTGCTGTCTCCGTTGTTATTTCTCCCGTTCCTCGGCTTGTTCTTGCCGGTCGCAAGCAGCGGGCTGGTGCTGGGCTCGCTGCCGCCGTTACTACTGCCGGTGCTGGTGGTGGTGTTAGATCCCTTGTTCCTCAGTGAGCCCTCCTGGTCGCTGCCGGCCTCGGTTGATATGTCGGTGAGGGGTGTGCTCATGCCGCCCTCCTTGTCTTTGCTCGTGGTGCTGCTGCTGGCACGCATCGCTGCCTGACGCTCGGCGAACTTCACCTGGCCGTAACCCTGGTTGTTGGCAACACACACACACACACACACACGCACGCACAGAGAGAGAGAGAGAGAGATGGATGTCTGCTGTTGTGGTGTGTTGTGTGTCGCGGCTCTTACGATGGATCCGCCGAGAGTGAGGCAGATGCCGAGTAGGCTCTTTGGTGTGACCATGTCGGCGAAGAAAATGATGCCGCCGATCGACTGCAGGCAGGCCTTGGCGTATCCCACCACGTTGAATGTCAAGGGGGACGTGTGCTTGACGCACAGATAGGACGCGATAGCTATCAGCACCGACAGTATACCTACACACACAAACACACCACATCACACACAGAGAGAGTGAAGTGTGGCCTCCCTCTCTGTCTGTGTGTGCGCTGACTGGCCCACCTGACGCACAGAGGGACCCCCAGACATTGGCGGCATCCCAGGTGAGTTCGAAAGGCAGCGCCTCATAGAACTTCTCCTCCTGAGCTATGAATATCACCGGCACAAACAGCACCGCACTCAGCGTCAGGTTGTAGCTCATCAACACGTTCTGGTCGCCATCCACGTGCCTCAGGACGTTCTTGATCTGCACCATGTAGATGGCCTGGAAGAAGGAAGCCATGGAGCCCGTCAGGATGCCCATGAGAGAGAGGGTGGAGGGGTCCAGTGAGCCGACGATGAAGCCCGAGACCACCACAAGGCACGCCACAATCGTCATGAGCGACGAACGCTGGCCAAGGATGACGTACGACAGCACGATATTGAAGACTATCGTCAGAGAGCGGGCCACCTGATACGTGGAAACCTGAACAAAAACCAACCAACATACATTCTCTCTCTCTCTCTCTCTCTCTGTGTGTGTGTGTGTGTGTGTGGCCATCCCGCCCCGTGTGCGGACCTGCACGTGTTTGAGGCACGTGTTTGAGAAGCCAATCATCGCCACAAACACCACGGTGAGCGGCAGCACGCGCACAGCCAGGTGCCACTTGAAGCTGTAAGGCTTCCAGAAGGCCAGTGAGGGTACGAACTGGCCTATCCAGCCGATGGCGACGAACACAACGAGCCCCATGGCCTGCTGGAACCACGAGACGAACACGGGGTACGGCAGCGTGTCGGTGAAGATGGTGTAGTTGAGAAAGACGATACACAAGGACACCGCGCAGTAGAAAGCGATGGAGAAGACCACCATCTCCACGTGTCCGCCCGTGCCGCCATTGCTGGGCTCCGTGCCGCTCTTGGTGTTCTTCTCGGCAGCTGCCATCTTCATCTCCTCACGCCTCACACACACCACTGCAGCAATTGCACCGCAGGGGGAGAGAAGCCGCTTTTTGTGCACAAAGTGACTCTCCTACGCGGGCACCTGTCCTTTTTCGTCGGATCTCGGGTGCTGCGTGAAACTCAGCACAAATTTTGTGAGCCCGCTCTTCCTCCCCTCCAACGCGCACGTCGTCTGACTCGCTCTCTTCCCTGGCCCTTCTTCCCCTCTGCCACGCCGGCGGACGTCGGCAGTTGACAGGTACGGACGGCAACAGAGAAGCTGACAGGCAGCAGACACCACACACGACCTATTGCATGCGACAGAGAGGGAGATGCGCAGATATCAAGGCAGGATGCACACGGGCACACGTGTGTCTGGTGTGTTTCCTGCAGGCGTCCCGAGATGAGCACCGGACGAGCTGTGTGGACGCTCGGCGGTGCTCATGGCGTGACGGCGAGCCACTCCTCCGCTTCTCTCTCTCACTTGGTGTCTCACTGAGGCCTGCATGCGGCGGGGCGACTCGTCAACTGCCCCTCCACTCGACCACCTGACGCTTCAACACACTGACGACAGCAGCACTCACTGGCGGCTGGCGGCTCAAGACACTCCCACTCGCTACTGACAGGTGTCCTGCCAACACGCACCTCTCATCCCTCGGCTGTGCCCAGCCGACGGCCGGACGCCCCCGTCTGGTGACCTCCCACACTCCCCTCTGGATACCGGTGGCTGAAGGGCTGTGAGTGGGTCGGCGCTGCAAGGAGGAATTGGGGCAGACGCATGCCCTATCGCTAATGGGCCATGTGGCTGCCGGATGTCTATTTGTAGGTCAGTGAGGGGAGGGAGGGAGGGAGGGGAGCACACACACGCCTGCAGAGACAAACGCACTGCTTCGCTGTGTCCTTACTTCATCAGCGCCGATCCGCTCACTGGCCGTCCCACCGACGCGCGATCACACAAGACGACAGGTGGCCGGCCGCTCTTCGGGATGGAGCGGCGGTCTGTGGGCAGCTGTGAGGTTACTGCGGGGGCCGATGGATGTCGGCAAGACGGCCAGGCTGAGGGATGATGACTGGCGAAAGAGATGAATGGATGCAGTGTTGCGGCGGCCGGTGCAAAGCAGCGAATGAGTGTATGTGAGTGCTGTCAGTGTTGTGTGTGTGGAGGTGTCGTGTGTGGTCGTTTTGGAGGGGTACAGGTACGATTTGTCCCGCCGTGTGTGAGGCCCGCCTGCCTGTGTAGCCATCCAGCCATCCAGTCAGCTGATCTGTATGCTCTGTAGCCATCTGACCTCCTCTCTCTCCCTCGGCTGTGGATACTATGTGGTGTATTGTGCTTATGTGTGTGTGTGTTTGGCTTCGCAATGCTGCTGGTCAGACAGCGAAAGCGAAAGCGGCGGCTCGCATTAGCTTTCGCTGAATCATCAGCAGGATTGCGAAGCGAAGCATACACACACACGGTTCCACATTCTTCATTCCTTTCTTCTCATGGATAATCTGTTGGTGTGGTTGGGTCAGTCTCTCGTTGGCTCACCCGTATGGACACGCGTGCGTGGCTGACGATGGAAAGGGCAACGGTCTCTTTGCAGCTGACCAACGTCCTTTACGTCATCATGTTCGCACGGTTGTCCACGGGTGAGGCAACGAAGAAGACACGTCATTGTCTCTCATCTGTCTCTGGACTAGGAAGGCATTGCTGGGACGGTGGGACGCAGACGCCCTGGCAAGGCCCAGGCAGTGGACAAGACTCTCACGAGCACGATCATAAAAAAGCACATCATCCTGGTGCCTGCAACACACACAAATATCAACCCAAGCCTTGAGGGTCTCGGGGTGAGGGCGGGTTTGACAAACCTACCCTAACCCTAACGCAAACCCTCCAGACTTTCCTCATTGGTAGCGGCATGGCTGGGCGTCCTTTGCGTGTGGCGCCCCTCGACCATGACCTTCCAGAGGTGAGGCCAGCCAGAACCGCACTCATCACTTCCCACACAGGGAATGGCACGCATGAGAGGAGGGAAGATGGCTGCTTCTGGGGCTTGTGTGCCGTGTGTGTCCTTTGACAGCATCTGGTCGGTCGTTGGGAGGAGCTCATGGTGCTCAAGTGGCACGAGGTCATCTACCGCCTCACGCAGGAGGGCATTGGGGCTGAGCCATCAGGGGCTGTGAGGGACTTCCTGCTCTTCATGATGCTGGTCGTACGATGAATCACAAAGACACACGTGTGTACGCACAAATGGTCTGTTTGCTGCCGTGTGTGGTGTGATGTGTGTGTGTGCAGAAGGGTGTTGAGAACGACCGCAGCTGCCGCCTGTCGGTGCCGGCGCACATCGACGAAGTGTGGCACTCAGTTCTGGTCGATCCGGTGCTGTACATGTCGCTCTCGCGCATCGTCGGCATCGAACCCGTCATCCCACAGTAAGCACACACAGACACACAACACCACACAGACCACAGAGAGCATATTGCGATATTCTGTGTGTGTGGCCCTTTCCCTCACGCTGATACGTGCAGCGATCCGATGGGCGAGTTCGACAGCGATGCGTTGAAGATGCGCCGCCGGCAGGCCGCCTCAGACAAGTTTGCAGAGCTCTATGGATACCCATACAAGTGGTGAGTGAGTGAGAACACACCAAATGGTGATTGTCCGGATGCATGTTTGCCTCTGTGTGGTGGGGCGACAGCAGCACGTTGGCGTCGGCCGTTCACGACCACGGCTCTTCCGTACTCACACACACACCCAGCAGGTAGATACCTGATAAGAGGCAATGGAACCACACGTGAGGGCGCCTCTCATTATCCGGTCTGTGTGTTGTGACTATGCTGTGCTTTGCAGCGAGGTCCGTGATCAGTACATCCAGCTGTATGTCAAGGACATGGGAGGCAAAATCTTCTTCCTCTGGGCCCTTCCGGCGGCCATGATAGAGGCCGTCAGGGACGCTGTGCAGCGTCACGAGGGCATCCCGGTAGATCAGCAACGGCTGATCTTCGGCGGCAAGTGAGTGGGTCGACAGAGAGAGACGGGGGAGGGGGGGGCTTGTGTGTATGTGTCTGATGTGTGTGTGTGTGTGTGTGCAGGCAGCTGGAGGATGGTCGCACCTTGTCGGACTACAGCATAGTTCACGGCTCCACACTGCATATGGTTCTGCGGCTGAGGGGACGCTAGAGGGGGGGAGGGACGGAGATAGAGAGAGCAGATAGCAAGGTAGAGAGGGTGGGACGGCGCGGGGACGGGAGGAGGGTGATGTGGTGAGTGTGATGGGTGTACACAGAAAAGGCTTGGCTGGCTGGATATGCGTGGGTGGGTGGGTGGGGGAAACTGTCATTAACCGTAACACTCGTCTGTGTGTCCGTGATACTCATACAAATACAGTCCCATCAGCAC